AGATAGATAGATAGATAGATAGATAGATAGATAGATAGATAGATAGAGATAGGTAGATAGATAGATAATAAATGAAAATATACAGCATTTTGACAGCTGGGATTCCTCTTTCTGGAAACAGAGAGGAGGCAGCTTGGAGGTGACTTAGCAGGCCAGATAATGCACAGAGACAGAGAGAATGGCTGGCAGATTTCATTTGTGAAGAAACTGCTAAGAGAATAGGCTGGAGGAAACTTGAGGTTTGATACTGGGAGGATGAGAAGCAGATTGGAGCTTGGAGTGATACAGAATGGAGTGAGGGGGACTGTTTCCTTGAGATTTTTGCAGGGGGATGGCTGTTGCTGTGGGCATTTGTGGAAGAAGGTGGGAAGAATCATTTCAACTATGTATGATGTTGTTGAAATGAGTTGTAACTTAGATGGCTCAGTGTAATGGGCAGGGAGTGCTAGCTATGATTAAGCTTCCCTGCTGGGTGCATAAAGATTCATCCCACTAAGTCCCACCGCTTATTACTACTTAAATTATTTTTCTGTGTTATACTCTCTGTATTGTTTTCCTAATGCAAATTATAAAGCTCCTGTCTATTCATAACTCACAGTGGAAATTGCCCTTTAATGCCTCTCCACTGGACAGAGATATGGCAGCAAATTAAGATGTATATGAATTGAATAGATGCTGGAATGATTCTACTTGGGAGTTCTGTTGCAAATCCACTCCTCAAATTTAGGACTGAGTGCTATCTGAAAAACGAAGTTACATATAATTCAGAGGTGGTATTCACAAGGTTATGACCAGTTCTGGAGAACAGTAGCGGAAATTTTGACTAGTTTGGAGAACTGGCAAATACTACCTCTGACTGGCCCCACCCCCATCTATTCTCTGCCTCCCGAGTCCCAGCTGATTGGCTGGGTCTTCTTTTGTTGCCCTGTACAAGAGAACAGAGCTGGAAAGCAGGTTAGTGGGGTGGCGAGGGAATGGGATTTTGCAGTAACCTTCCACCAGGAGTGGGGTGGGAATGGAGATTTTACAGTATCCTTCCCCTGCCATGCCCACCAAGCCACACCCACAGAATTGTTAGTAAAAAAATTTGAATCCCACCACTAATATGGTTAATTAAAGGAACGTTGAAGGAGGTTACATTGCCTCTCTGGACTTGTGGGAGAAGAGTGGGAGATCAGAAGCTCAGTGCCCTTCACATGAGAATAGCTACAAATCCTGAAGTTTTAGAGCCACAAGGGATCCCATTAAGCCTTGGGTGTGGTCATCAAGACCTCCACATTCTTTGAAATAAATGAATGACTGGAGAGAAATATAATTACATTTTAATTTTAATTTAATTCAAGAGTAAATGAAATAAAACCAGATTTAGATATTACCTGTGACTATGGGGACTGAGATCCATGGCAGACCCCTCAAAGGCCTGTTAGGAATATAAGTCACCTAACAGCTATTTGGGTTAGAAATATATAAACCAGGATAAACATTTTAAAACTGTATCTTTAAGAAAATGCAAAACTGTAATTAGGTGTGGTTTCTCAAATGGCCATAAGATGGAGCCAGAAACCTGGGTTGTTTTAGTTTTAGTCTTAATCTCAGAAGAGAGTGAATCTCTGTTTCCTTCCGTTGGAAAGTATTGCAGTTGCTCCATTTTTCCTAATTGACTGATATTCCTGGATTTAATGTAAGTCTGATACTGAACTGTTTTTTGACACTGGACTTTGTTACTGGATTATCCCTGGATTGAAAACTGACTGATTTACTTGTGAATGACTTTGGATTGCTTATTTTGGACTTTGCTTAAACCTTTCTGGAAGTAAAAACCTACATTTACTGTACAGTGTATCTGTGTACTGTGTGTGTATTATTCAAAAACTTCTCTCAAATACGTCTCCCTGTATGCGCTCATTCTCCTAACGGGGAACCTCCTAACCTCAACAAGGCCAACTGAAGCTTTCAGTCTTCTCTAAGTCATGATTGGCAAATGCTACTACAGGCAGTCCTCAACTTACAATACTTTGTTTAGTGACCATTCAAAACTACAATCGCACTGAAAAAAAGTGACTTACCACCTTTTTTCACACTTATGACCACTGCAGAAACTCCATGGTCATATGATTAAAATTAACATTCTTGGTAACTGACTCATATTTATGATGGTCGCACTGTCCTGGGGTCACATGATCAGTTTTTGCAACAAGCAAAATCAGTGGAGAAGCCAGATTCACTTCACAATGGTGTTATTAATTTAACAATTTGCTTAACAAATGTGACAAGAAAAGTTGTAAAATGGGGTGAAACTCACCTAACAGCTGTCGCTTAATTTTAAATTTTAGGCTTAATTGTGATTGTACGTTGAGGACTACCTGTACTATGTTCTTCCTGCTCCATCTAGAAATTAATTAATAAAATTTCCCCCCATCCCAGATGTATACATTTCCTTACCTTTGAAGGGAGATATTTGCTTCTTTGTTTTGTACAAACAAAAAGTGTTTCATGATGTGAACCTGAACTGCCATCTGGATTGCTGGGGCTCCACCCTAAAAAAACAAGATCAAGAGTGAATTGCTCTGTGTTTTGCTTACACTATGATACAAATTCAATGTATTGGGGACCTTATCCAATGCTTACAGGAGACTGAGCTTTGAGCAACATACATACACCCCCGTGCTTTATTTAGAACAATAGTGGGCAAACATTTTTCCATGTAATGAAATTAAACAAAAATCTATTAACTCCCTGCTGTCTGCTTAGGCAGGAAGAAGATATCAAGCTGAAGTCTTGGAAAGCATAGATCTGGCCAGACCCAGGAAGTACAATATCACAAATGGAGTATATTTAGTGTTTTCCAGATTTACATGACTGTATAAATTGAGTGACGTACACATTTAATTATTGCTCATGTCAGAGTATATTCATGAACTGGAATAGAGCTTAGTAACAAGGTTAGCCAATGAGAGCTGAATTGAGGGCTGAAATTTAAAGAGAGAATCTGGGCATGGTTTATCTCTGTTCTGTGCTCAGATCTAAAGTGAAAGAGAAACTAACTTGCTTGCTGAAAATTAGAGCTCTGCTGTGAACGTGTAACATGTCTGCTTCTATTTGAGTTTGCTCCCTATTGGAGAAATCTACAACTGGTATTGTAAAATTTACTTTGTATTTATAAAGAAGTTAAACAAAGCCTCAGTCATCTGTGTTTACTTTTCTGGCGCTGAATTTAAGCTGCAATACTCTGAACAT